GCGCTGTAGGGTTTATCCTGGGCAGTGTCCTAAATCCTTTAGTGTGTGCACCAGGGATGAGTGTCAGCACTAACACTCACCCTGCAAAATCAAATTAATTAATTACATTAATTTAAAATAATTAAAAATTCATTATCTCCGTGCAGGGCGCTCTTGAGGCTCGTCCTTGCAGTCCCCTCGGTTCTGATAGGATGGGTTTGTGTGCTCCACACCCTTCAGGGCACACCCCAAAGCTTTGTCTGTACTCCCAAGGTCAGGCTGAGCAGGAGGAGGAGCCTCAGGCAGGCCCTGGGAAAATTCCCTGGTGTTCCTTGCTGGACCTGTTGGAGAGAGGCAGGGACAGGGCTCAGGTGCTGGGGTTTGTGTTGGGGCAGTGCAAGCAGGTTTTATCCTGGTGATCCCTCCAGGCTCAGGTTTGGAGACCCTCAGAGCACGCAGCTGGCACAGCCCAGGGCAGCAGAGGGGCTGGAGCAGAGCCAGGCGTGGCAGCAGCAAGGCACTGAGTCCTCGGTGGCTGTGCAGGTGTGTGCACGCTCTGGGTTTCCTTCATCATGAGCAACCTGAGCCCTGTGCTGAGCTGCACCACTGCAGGGAGAGCAGCTCCAGGGTTGTTTTTCCACTCCAGCCTCACCCCTTGGCAAACAATCCCCCTGTAGTTTTGGGCACCTGCTTATCTGTGTCTGAACAAATGCCAGGAGGAGCATTTGCAGCTCCCAGAGCCCGAGCTGGCTGTGTTTTAGTGCTCATTAATGTCAGCAAGTCCTTGAGGGACAGGCAGAGCTTGAAATTGAACTGCTGAAGATGTGCTAAGAGACTTTGTTTGGGATTAAGAGAGTTAAACCTGCTCTAAGCCTGCACAGAGAGAGGCAGCACTGCAGAAATGCTCTTGGTAATTAGGAGCCTTAATAGCATCTTTCAGAGCAGGGGCTGGCACTGATGCCAGGATTAAGAGTCATATTTAATTATGAGAATTTGAATTAAATTTCTCAATTTCTCAGTCGTCTTAAAGTTACATCTAGTTGTAAATTTTGCGTTGGTAGCAGGGATTCCAGCCAGTCTTCTCTCTTGGAAAGAAAACCCCTGTTTTTGTCCCTGTCCCTAAATTCTGTTCACTCCAGAGAGGCCTGTGCAGGTGCAGGTCCCAGCCCGAAATCAAACTGCTCCCAAAGCAGATGGTTGAACTGCCAGCCTGGCTGGGATTACCCCAACCACAGCTCCCCTTCCTGCACAGCTTTTCCCTTCTGCTTTTTGCCCGTTTCCCCTCTGAGGAGGGCCGATCCCTGCCGGACCCGGAGCTCCTCGGGGCTGTGCTCCTGGCAGGGAGCGCTGTCAGCTGCGGGATTCACACCCGCGGCCGCTCCTGGAAGCTCATCCTGTGCCTTTCCCTTCTCCCCAGGGTATGGACAAGACTTGAGTGGGTTTGGACAAGGTTTCTCTGACCCCAGCCAGCAGCCCCCTCCCTACGGAGGCCCCTCGGTGCAGCCCTCCAGCGGCCCCCCGGCCGGGGGCAGCGGCTTCGGCCGGGGACAGAACCACAACGTGCAAGGATTCCACCCCTACCGGCGCTAGCCCGGGCTGGCAATCAGGGAGTGCTGTCCACAGGGATCTCTGGGCCCAGCTGAAGCCCGGGAGCCCAGACTTGTGAACTTGTGACAATCACATTACTTGATGGAAGAAAAACCTAACAACAGTTTTTTTTTTTTTTTCGGGGAGGGTGGGGTTGGGGGCAGATGGCTTCTGAAGGCAGAGCTGTGGGTGTTTGGACTGCAGTTTTTAAAGATTTTCCTTTTCTCTAACCCATCAGCACAAATAAAGAAAATGTCACTGGTTCAAATTACAGGGTTTTAAAAACGTCTTCAGCTTTAATTCAAAACTTCAGGTTTCTTTTTTTTGAAATTATTTTTCCTGAGCCTTTGTTTTACCGTATATTGTAAACTTTTATGTTTAAAAGAAAAAAAAATATATACATTTACAGATTGTGAAATTTTTAAGAGAAATTTTCTACTATGTATGCTGGCTTATTTTTTAATTTAAAACAGGGTTTCCGTGAGCGCTGTCGGAGGCGGGGGAAGAGCTGCAGCCCCTCCCTCCCTCCCTCCCTGCCCACGGCAGCGCTGGGGCGGAGGGTTCCGAAACTCTGGGAGTTGACAGAAACCTGCTGAGTGTATTTTGTTGTTTGTTCTGGGGGCAGAGCCGGGCCGGGGCAGGCGCAGGAGCTGCGCGAGGCACGCGGGGAGCGCTGGCTCCGGCCTCCACCACATGTGGATTTCCCTCAGGCAAAAAGGTTTTGGTGCGTTTGGCACTGAGCAGTGCCAAGCCCTGGTTTGAATAAAGACAAGAACCTTTGGATTAGAAACACCAGCCTGTCTCCATTTTTCTGGGGTTTTTTTTTGTTTTTTTTGCTTTTGTGAGTGTGGGTTTTCTGTGGAAGCCCCTTGGCAGCCCTGGGAATCCTTGGGGCAGCTTTGCTGGGCCTGTGTGGTGTCACCAGCTGTGCCCCCAGACTTGGTGTAATTAATCACTGTTAACGAGGTGGAGCTGGGGCCGTGTTGGGATATGTCTGTGCTGTGGAGGTCACTCCTGGCAGGAGCTGCATCAGTTCAGAATTCTGTATTTTGTGTGGCTCTGGTTCCGCTCGCTGTGAATCCTCTGGGCTCAAATCCTCCTGGCTCTGCTCCTCGCTCCGTTCCATCCCTGAGCTCGGAATTCCTGCTGGAACGGGAGCTGCTCCAGGGCTGGCAGTGCAGGTGTCGCTTCTGAGACCGACCGAGCTCCCCCGGAGCTGGAAAAGGCACGGCACCACCTGGAGCAGAGGACACCCAGCATCTTCACCCTCTTCTGGGACAAGCCTTTGCACTTGGCTCCCGTCTGCCAGCAGCAGCTCCTCCAGGACCCTGCCAGGCCTGACCGGATCAACCGGTGCCCAGCGACCGGTTCTGCTCAGCCGCGCCCGGCGTGTCCCACCCTGACCGCTGCCTCCCGTGCGAGGGTGACGCTCCCCTGCACCGTGAAAAACCAAGGTGGAAGACCAAGGCGCCTTCCGAAAACAGCGCGGGGCGCTCAGAGCCGGCCCGGGGCTGTCCCGGTGACGGCGCCCTGTCACGGCTGGGCTCCACCTTGGGCCAGCGGGAAGGAGCGGCTTCGTGCGAACCCGAGATATCCCTGGATCACGAGGGGCAGGCTCGGGGGAAGAGCAGGCTCCGTCCTGGCAGCTGTGCCCCCTGTCCCCCGCTGTCCCGCGCTGCGGGCGCGGCCCCTTTAAGGGCAGTGAGGGCGGAAGCGCTGCTCGGGCGCGGCCCCTTTAAGGGCAGTGAGGGCGGAAGCGCTGCTCGGGCGCGG